AAAAAAAAAAAAAAAATTATATATATGTATGCATACTAACATAATAGAACACCCATTTTATATCCAAACCCTATTCTTCATTTCAGGCTTCATTTTCAACTCCTTAATTGATTTCTCAGCCATTCTCAATCTCTTCTAATTAACAGTCACATACAAACTTTTACATTGCAAATAAGTTAAATGCATTAAAAGATGAGATAAAACGCGTTTGACACTGATCACTTTTTGCTTTTGCCTCTTAAAGAGTAGTGAATGTCATCCGTTTCATTCACGAAATAAAGGAAAGCAATGCCAACGCGCACGGGCCCACTTGCAACGCAGGCCGAGGGACCCACTTCAGATTGTGTTTTTTTATTCATCAAATATATTATTTTAAGCTTAGAATGAGATTATCATCACAACTAGTTTCATGCACAACCTATCTCACATCGTGTATCGTCCAAAGTGATATTGTAATTGTTATCATCAATTCACAGGCAATTGCGGTACAGAAGAAAAATTGAAAAACAATGCATATTAATAGCAATGCAAAAAATGATAGAGAAGAAACAGATGAATGCATGTATTATATAATTTGGTTATGTAATCATTGAATTAATTATATGACAACGATAAGTACAGTAAGGATTAAAGAAGCAGATATGGGAGCAAAAAGGAGGGAGAAATTATTGACCAGAAAGTGTGTGTTGTTCTCATTGATTCTCTTTTTGAGAGACCATATGGCATCCTATGGAGGATATGAAGGAGCTTTTATTGTGTTTTTTTTTTGGGGGGGCTCGGAAGCCGCTTTTATTACATGTCAATGTAAAATGCTAAAATAATTGTCCTATATTTGCTAAACTTCATTATCTCACTGGATTAACGTGCGGCCATTCTTGTCTCTGCATTTTATTTTCATCGACCCCACATCTCTATTATTTCCCCATCCTTCTTTAATCTGATCGTCAGTTGTTTTCAATGTTTTTAATTTAAGTCATACTAAAAAATAATCAAATTAACATCGAAACCAATTTATAGTGTAATAAGCATCTCCAAGGGAGATTTCTAGCTAAAGGACTCCCATAATACAACAGATTCGAATCTTACAAGACTTTATTGAGACCAAATATCTTATTATATTTTTTGATGAGACATATATATAGTTTATGGCGAATTACTACAACTAAAAAAATTATAGGTCCACCAGTTTTACATTGGCTTGCGAACATTCTCTAATTAAGTAAATAATGAAAGGTTCCTGGCCGAAACAAGAGCTAATTGATTATTATTATTATTAGGTTTTTATGGTGTTTTTAATTTTAACAAGCCTCAAATAAAACTAAAAACAGAAGCACGTGTACGAATGCAGAAAAGTAACAAGGCATCTCATGGATATAAATATTAATTTGGAATAAAGTTGTTTGTTCCCGGCATATGCATGCATGTGGTGGAATTAATCCAAACTTGAGAATTAAATTAAAAGAAGTTAATTAAATGTAATTAACTGATTTAGATTTTACAACCAGCCATTGCCGCAGTGTGCGAATATGATCAGTGTCTCAATCAGATCTGAGATCACAACTTTGGTTTTGTTGATCTTAATAATTAATTATTTTGTTTCTTGTCGATGATGTATGTCCTTCGTCAGATGTGAATAAATAAACCATTAAAAGGACTTGAATAATAATAGTTAGGTCTAATTAAATGACCCTGACTAAAGATAATTCTATTTAATAGAATTAAAATCATTCCCTTCAATTTTTTTCTTTTCAAAAGCAACATGAGTACACGACTTCGATATAATCGATCATGCAGTGTTAAGTTGAATTATTTCAAAAACCTACAGAATTAATATTATAGTTACGTGTAGATATTTGTTTTCAAATCAATAGATACTGATACATGAAAAGATGACAGCAAATAAGTTATTTTTGTAACTTATTAGCTTTATAAATATATAAAATTTGGGTAACATTAATTACTACTACCTTCGGTCTTAATTATAAGACCTCGTCTGTAGTATACAAATAAAGTCTTATAATTAAGACCGGAGGTAGTGCTATATATGTAGTATTATATATATAATGGATATTTTTTTAAAAATAAAACCGTATATAGTGGCGTCAAACATAAAAAGTAAGTAATAACCTCAGCTTAAACATAAAATAATATGGATAACGTGGCAGTTTAAAGTGTAACTCTTAAAGCGCTGGCCAAAAAACAAAATTTAAAAGCATATTTTGGCAACGTAAAACTCAACCCCCCATTCCGGTGAAGTCATATCAAATTAATATGGTAAAGAGACAACGCATACATCACAGTAAAATCCAAATTCCAAAAGTGTTCCTTAGTGGTCTGAAACGTGTTGACTGCCTTTAATTAGGATTAACCTAAACATAGGAAAGTTATTTAAAGGTCTATCTAAGCTATAATTACTTTTAAGATTAAAACTATTATCGAACTTTATAAAACATTTTGCAGAATATTATTACATTTTACAAAACTACTCAAACTATGTAGTAGTAATTACTTTTAGGAAAAAGTAATATAACCTCTCATAAGGTTTGAAGGTCATTATACTTACTGAAAATAGTTAAGATCATTCTTTATCATAGATTATTAAAAAAAATGGGTCATTAGATGATAATTTGCATGGACAGATGCGCAAGTCCAGCTAGTGCAAAGTGCGCTGTCGTGTTGTTCATGCAAAACAAAAAAAAACAAAATGGATGGATGCCTCAATTATATATGTTGGTCCTCATCCTCGACCAATATCAATATCAATACTACATTAATAAAAGAATAATATGCATGGTGCTGTCTTGTACTACTGTTAAATTCCCTGTGTCTTTAATTAATTAATTCAAGAAAGACCTTAAATTAATTGGTCAATGGATGTAGCTGTCTGTCCGTAATTGAAATGCAAATAGAAATGTGTGCGTGTGTGCGTGTGTGTTTTGTGTGGCGTTTAATTTTTGTCAAATTTCTGAATATATTTTATTTTTGCATGGAAAGGGATTGGAAATGGACGCTTGCTTGATCAACCACTCACTTTGGCTGTCCTTTTCAGCTCTATTTCCTCCTCCCATTAGTATTCATGCATTCACAATTGACTAACCCATCACCAATATTTATTACCATTTTTTAATTGTCACCATGAATATCAAACGGGAATCAAATGTACTTTATTAAAAAGCATAACTTTTTCAAGAAGAAATTATTATGTGGACATGATTCAACACAATTCAAATCGACCGTGAAATTGAGGACAGCGAAGAATTTAATGAAAGCTTCACAATGAAAACCTAACATCCTGACAAGGACTGATACGAACGAGGATGAAACTAGAGATCAGATCAGATGTTCCTTTAATTTGAATAACATTTCGTCGTAGCTTGGTTTGGATGCAGACCGCACCGACCCCATATATACACAGTCCATAACGGGCCTTATTGGATTCAATTAATTAAGCCCATGAACCATGATGTGATCATAGAAGTTGGAAAGTGAAATCACAACTCACAAGACAGCGTGCATAAAGCAGCCACCAATTCGTCATCAACCCCACTCCTGTTGTTAACAATATTGCAGTGCAACAACCCCCCGAGTTTCTCTTTTACTTTTATTACCCTCATTTCATCATTCTCATTATATATATATATATATATATTTTTGCACTGCAGCTGCTTTATTCTAGGATTTGAATCCATTATCATCCTGCACAAAACCAAAGAAACAATCAGGTCAGCTGTGTTGGAGAAACTAGAGTGACTTCTCAAGTTTCTCGATCCCTAAAGAGTAGCATTATATATTCCCCTCCGAAACATCCAATTTCATTATTCACAAGGCCCAAATTTTGTTATCGGGCCTTACCACTGAACCAAAAAAAGAAAAAAGTGAAACTGGTTGGAAAATGGAGGCTGACGACGTCCCAAACATGTCCGATCCGCACGGGCAAGGTGCAATTTCAAGTATAAAATGGAAAGGAATAATGGGCAGTCTTGTACATTTGCTCAGCGTAGGGCTTGTCAATTTGATTTTCCCCTTATAAGTTAACCTTCTCCTCTCGTAACACCAGTTACAAATATGAAACATAGAGTCAAGCATCGACGGAATTACTTTTAGGATCAGGTGTGTGTGTGTGTTTATGTTGCAGGGGAAAGAAATTAGCCAAAGCTGAAGAGTACACTTGACTATAACATGCATTATTCCTTTCCTTCCTTTCTTATAATTTGCAAGGAAGCGGCCCATCACTTCGGATTCAGCACTTCCTTCAATAAACATAACATTAAGGACGTACATCTCATTTACATTCTTCAAGTGCAGAGTCTCAGACATGCCCGAAACTAAAACAGAAGGAAGAGTGCTCCGAGATCCGCAGTGGATAATTTTGTGGATGATGCTTTTATCTGCTGGCCAGAGTCCCATCTTGAACAACATTCTCCCACTGCTTCTGCCGCAAGCTTCCGAAAACTGTTCCACGTAACAATACATAGATATGTGTGTATATATATATATATGCTCATGCGTGGTCTAAGCGCAGTGAAATACATCCCCTAGGGGCGTACTCCTCTGATGAATTCATTATGTTCTTCCTCTTTTTTAACCTCAGATGAATTCATCCAATTTGCTACTTCCTTTTTCTCCAACAAAACATCATTATTAGGAGATGTCGTGCTTCAAAAGTCCATGTGTCAACTTTTTATTGGAAATTAAAACAGCCCAAGGCCTATAAATTAGTGTGTGTGAGGAATTTTCTCTCATTAAATGCCCATAAGTATGCGCCTTGCTAACTACTTTTGCACCTTCTGATATGCAATTCTATTGGGTGACAAGGGTGTAGAAACGCAGATGCGTTGACCGTCTGCTTCCTTCTGAACGAATTGAAACCCTAAATGAGCAGTAGAGTAGAATCAAAGTTGCCATGTGCAGTAGAAATGTGAGCGGTAATTTCACCCAATACCTTTCTTTCTAATGACTCTGAGGCGCACCGTTTGCGTACGCCATTTAGGTGTGAACGTATGGCCCTGGCACAAAATCCGGAGTCTTTCTCTCAAACAAGGGGCCGGGCTCCAAAAACTGCCTCCTTCTCCCTCATAAACCTCCCTCTTCAGCCACTCTCTCCTTCTCTCTCACTTCATGCTTTGTATTTTATTGAGCGAAACTCCCAAACCCGTTTGAACTTATCTTCAAAATGCATTAAATAATATTTGTTCTATTCACAACTTTCCCAGAACAAACCAGAACTCACACATGGGGGGTTTTCCCTTCACTCTATTACAGTCCAATTTTTAAGCATGTGGCTGTGAACGCCGTGATTGGTTTACTGCTTTCGGAACTCTTTCCCTCTCCATCTCATTAATTCCTCCTTCGTCTTCCCAGTGACAGTTCTCTTGGCTGCCTGAAAGTTTTCTTCCCCTTTTCCCCGTTGGAAATATTTTCCAGTTCTGGTAATTTGAGTGTGTTTGATGATGACCGAATTTGAAATAAAAAAGGAATAATTTTCAAAAGATTCGGGTTTTAGGGAAGAGAAAAGTCGCTTTCTTTGAAGGTAAGGGAGGTTTGGTTTACTATTGTTTATGTTATCCTTTTTTTTTTTTTTTTAAATTCTCTCTTTGTGGATAGAATTAATCAGATGCTTTATGCTGCCTCTCTTGTTAGGTCTGCTGCCTGTTATTGCAAAAGCGGGCTCTTATCTTCTTTGCTTCCTTAATTGGTTACAGTATTACTGAAAGATCCCTCACTAGCCTCGTATCCGCGCACAAATAAGCCTTTGCTCCTCTCTCTGATCTAAGTCTCTCCCTGCCCATACCTCTCATATCGAGTTTCTCTCTCCTATTCTCAAAAACCACATCTGAAGCCAACACGTACAAGTCCAAAAGTCTTCAAAGTGGAAAATCTCTGCATGCAAAGGGTGGCAAAACCGGGAACAAAATAAACAGCATCCAGTTTTGGTTTTCCCTCTCTTCCTTACTGTTTTGATCTTTCCAAAATACGAACTCAACACTGCCTAGTTTTCCAGAAGATTTCCACAAATTTCAATCTTTTTCGAGTGGGAGATCTGCATGCAAGGTATGAACAAAACCCAGCCTTTTGCTTTCCTACTTTTCTGTAATTTATTTCTTTGAAACCCCATTTTTTCTTAATTTTTTCCCCCTTCGAGTTATAACCTTTGATCTATCTGCATGCAAATTATAGGTGGTAATATAGCCATGGAGGAAGAAAACGCCTTGGATGTTAACAAAACTGAGATCTGGCTTCAAGATGAACAAGACGATCTTCTTGGTGTGAATGATGTCTCCATGTTTTATGCTGATTTTCCTCCTCTTCCAGATTTTCCATGCATGTCATCCTCTTCGTCATCTTCCTCAACTCCAGCACTGCAAGTCAAGACCACGACGTGCTCTACAACATCTTCATCCTCCACCGCTACATCATCATCGTCCTCTGCCGTGTCATGGGCAGTTCTGAAGTCCGATGCCGAAGATAATCTTCGGGTGGAGGAGCAGCCGCCGCCACCACTAGCAACTTTGTCCTCCGCCGCTTCCACAGAGATCCCTTTACCGCCTAACGATTGTGCTGTCGAGATAGAGGAGCCTTTTCCGTACTTGGACATGTTAGAGATCAACGATTTTTTCGACCCGGCATTAGTTTTTCAAGACGAGGATTGCCCATTAGAAGAATATCCCCAGAATCAGATAGAGCGGGAGCAGGAACAACATGCAATTACACTGCTGCAGCAATCAGAGGATCAAGATCGGCATGTGCTCTTTAATGATAATAACTACGAAGAAGAGATTCAAGGAAAAGGAGGAAACCCAGATGGGGAAATGAGCGACGTGTTCTTGGAGTGGCTCAAAACGAACAAGGATAGCGTCTCTGCAAATGACTTGAGGAGCGTTAAGCTCAAAAAATCAACCATAGAGTGTGCTGCGAAGCGCTTAGGAGGAGGAAAAGAAGCCATGAAGCAATTGTTGAAGCTTATTCTTGAATGGGTTCAAACTAGTCATCTTCAAAACAAAAGCCGTTGTAATAAGGAGAGTGACATTAATAATAATGACAATGGTGCGCCTCCAAATTTCCTCACAAACCCTAGGTCTAATTCCAACCCTAATTTCTTTGGAATACCTCAGTCATGTCCATGGGTCTCTCATCCTCAGCCTTATGGGACAGATCCGGCGACTATGGTAGCCGTGCCGCCGCCTTCTTATCCTTTGATTGGGTATCCGGGTGACCCATATTCAAATGGAGCTTCGAATAATATCAATTCCTACCAACCTGCTATTACGGAATACAAAATGTTGGAAGCAGCTCATTCATGGCCTCCATCTCAGTTCACCATTGCTCCCCACTGCAACCAGTCATCATATGGGGACAATAATGTCCACCAGGCTGGCCCACCAGTAGCGGCGGGATTTGACGGCTATGTGAATCAGTATTCATATCATTATTTTCAAGGCATGGCGGCGGGTGATAAGTTAATGAGGTTAGGCCCCTCGGCGACCAAAGAAGCAAGGAAAAAGAGGATGGCGAGGCAGAGAAAGTTTTTGTCTCATCATAGGAGCCAGAAACACCATAGCCAACTACAGAATCATGATAATAATGACCCGCTTGCAAGATTGGGACGTGATTATAATTGCAACGGAGGTTCTGCGAATCCGGCCAATTGGGCGTACTGGGGGGCACTGGCCGGAGGAGCAGCTTCCGTGGTTCCAGTCGTTCCAGCTGAAACCCGGCCGGCTCTGGATCGAACAGCCATGCAAGCTCAGAATTATCAAACCAGTGTCGCATCGACAGATCAAAGGCGTCAGGTGAGTCAATCTGCATAATTTGATCCCTACGATCATGTAATAAGTTTATGATTACTAATGATTACTATGCGTATTTTTACTTCCATTTTCCTCCCAATTATCTGGTTTTTGTTCTGACTTTAAGATATATAACTGATGGGCATAATAAATGTAGTGCGTTAATTTTATAGGGATTGAAGACAGAGAAGAACCTGAAGTTTCTTCTTCAAAAGGTGTTGAAGCAAAGTGACGTTGGTAGCTTGGGGAGAATTGTGCTGCCAAAAGTATATTATTAATCGATCCTGTCCTTAATTTGAATTTTTTACAAATTTACGATAATATCATAAGGTCGTGAAAATGTGAATGTTATTTATCCTGGCTGTTGATTAAATATGTTCAGAAAGAGGCAGAAACCCACTTGCCAGAATTAGAGGCGAGAGATGGCATTTCTATAGCAATGGAAGACATTGGAACTTGTCGTGTTTGGAACATGCGCTACAGGTATTACATCGCCTGAACTAAATTTTCTTGTTCGGTTTGATTTGTTCTTTTCTCATAAGTAGAACTGAATTTTCTGTTGGACTTTTTCTCATCTGGGGAGTCTCAGATACTGGCCAAACAACAAAAGCAGGATGTATCTGCTCGAGAATACTGGTGCGCTAAGCTTATCAACCTTGGCATTGTTTTTCTTTTGTCCTGTCTTTAATGATGTGGATTGGTTTAACTGGAACACACATGCATAATTTGCAGGAGATTTCGTGAAGGCCAATGGACTGCAAGAGGGAGACTTCATAGTGTTGTACTCAGATGTCAAGTGTGGCAAATTTGTAAGTGTGAGCTTTAGCTTTTAACTACTTTAGTCTAAATGAGATAAGTACATATATATATATATACACACGCGCGCGCGCAGTAATTTAATATTGCAGTATAATAGATTCTGACGTGAATGAATTTAATTTTGGTGGGAACAAAAACAGTTGATAAGAGGGGTGAAAGTAAGGCAAGCAGGGGGAGTGGCGAAAGCAGATCAGAGCAAGAAAGGAGGAAAAACGCATCAGAAAAACCTGGCGGCTGCTAATAATGAGGCGCCCTCTCCATCGTCGCCTCTGAAAAGATTAGAAAGGAAATAAACTGATACGATCCTATGGGAGGGGAACACAGATTATGAAGGCAGAGTTTAGAGTGGAAAGCAAAGGCTTTAATCTAATGAATGGACTTTGTGGTTGGAATGCATTATATATATATATATATATATATATATGGGGAGAGAGTGGGATGTAGAATTGGGCCTTGTGAGGTGGATTGTATATACTGTATGTATGTAATTGCAGTGCAACAAGTAATAAGCGGAATAATATTATTGTATGTGATCGATTGTCAATGTGGCTGCCTGCACTTTAATTTCATCAAGTACATGGAAATGCGTCTGAAGGTGCCCGCCTCTCCAACAATCTCCGCCTTGAAATGAAATCTGAAGTGGGTATGGGAATTTCATGGGCTTGGGCTTTTTGAGACCTTGAACTAAAGTTAGGGCCTATTGGGCCGAAAACGGACTCCAAAATGCTGGGCCATCCTGGCCAGGTTGATAGCAATCTCCGAGAATATTGAAGGAGGCAATACACAAGCGGCTCATATGCCTCCACTTCCCAATGTTTACTTTGATTCTGATTTCTGAAACGAAACCTCCCCTTTCTCCATTCATCCATCATCCCCCAGAAGAAGAAACCTAAGAAATGCCATGATCTTGTTTGATCCTTCAACAGAGCCTCTAAAGTGGACTTCAAATCTTAGCAACCAACATTGGTTGCTGCGTGCTCATCAAACCGAGAAATCCCAACAGTTGCGAGTGTGAGTATTGTGGTAATTATAAGCAATGATCAAGGCTGGAACCTGCAAGTATTATGATTATTGTTAGAGGAAATATCAATAACATTAATTTAAAAAAAACTGATAAATAAGTATTACATACAAGACTAATATCAACTTTTAAATTAAGTCATACATTAATAACCGGAAAAGTCTTTTTTTGGGGAAAAAATCACAAAAAAAGACCTTAAAAATTGAAAAGTTATACAGAGACTCAGTCACAAAAATTATTGTTAAACTCATACTATTGTTATCAAAATTCACACTAATGCTATAATGGGTCCTTCTTTAAAATTTTTTTTATTTCGACAGTCTTTTTTTTAATTTTTCCTTTTTCTTGGCCGAAGTCTTAATTTAGTCTTCAAATGAATGGATTGGAACAAGGAAGACCCGGAAGGCTGAGTGCCCGGGGTTTGTATGCCAAGGATATTCGGGTGCTCTTACTTTTATTTTTGTTTAGTTAAATATTTTAGATGAATTTCTTTTCCATGTTCTTAATATCATGCCAGCCAAATACATTTATGTACAGAAGTTATTTAATAAGATGCTTTGTCACTATCCGAAATTCCAGTTGAATAAAAAATACTTATTAAGCTATCAATTTATTCTTATAATACTATGCAATGCTTTGATTAATTATTTTATAATCTTAACGGCAAAAAAATTATACTCATATTTTATATCTTTTTGTGATGCAATATTTGTATATATTGTGCTGTGCCAACGTCTCTGCTTTTTCTAATTTAAAAATCACAATTAGAGACTGCAAAGAAGGAAAATTAGAAAGAACAGAGCTTATTTGTTGATCACAATTATTAGGACATGTACACAGAGAAACCATAGCCCTAAAACTCCAAGGGTCCACACTGAACTTTTCAAGCGAAAAAAACAGTAGAAGTCTAACCACATGATTGGTGCTGACTATTTGAATGTGACTTTGGTATTGGAGGACGAAGGAGAGACAAGAAGAGAGGCAGAAAAACTAGTGTTGTTGCTGTTTACCGGGTATGATTGCTTCATTGTATCCCCTCTTGGCTCTTCACTTGAATGATTATTAGTATTATTATCTTCTTCATTTGCAGAAGATCTGTGAAGAAGCACATCAACTTTCATATATTCCTCCCTTTCTTGCCTGATCTCTTTAAGCATTGCGGCTACATCTTTCATGGTTGGCCTGTCTTCTGGGCTAGCGTTCACACACAACAAAGCCACCCCTAAAGTCTGCAATATTTCTTCTATTTCAGGTGCAGGCCTTGCACATAGGCTTGGATCTAGCACTTCACTTCCTCCTCTTTTCTGTCTAACCCAGTCAACGATGTGGAGCCCATCTGGTATTGTTGGGTCAATTGGTTGCTTCCCTGTTAGTACTTCTAATACAACAATCCCATAACTATACACGTCACTTTTCTCTGTTATCTTCATCATGTATCCATATTCTGCATAGCAGTTAGTGGTAAATGATAAATATATGTTAGCATTAAAGACCAACAAAAAATAAAGAGATGAACTTTAGGACCATCGTACTGACCAGGAGCAATGTAGCCATAGGAACCTGCCAGTGTGCTAGAGGATCTTGCAAAATCTCCCTCATCAACAAGTTTAGCAAGCCCAAAATCTGCAATGTATGGCTCAAAATCAGGACCTATGAGAATATTGTTGGCCTTGATGTCCCTATGGACAATGGGAGGAACACAGTCATGGTGAAGATAGGCCAAGCCTTGAGCTGCTCCCAGTAATATCCGATACCTGATGTCCCACTCCAAGCAGTTTCCACCACTTCGTTCATGCAGCAAACTTCCCAGGCTCCCATTTGGTACGTAGTCATACATAAGTAGCCTAGTATTTCGATTCCAAGAGCAACCAAGGAACCTCACAATGTTCTTGTGTCGAATGGAACCCAGGGTCTTAACCTCAGCTGAGAAGGAATCACGAACTCCTCTGCCATGAACTGCCAACTTGTCACGTTGGCAATCATATCTAGCAGCCATTGTTGTTGGCCATAGTTTTTTCACAGCAATGACATCGCCATTCTCTAGTTCTGCACGATAAACAACACCTGAACATCCCTTTCCTATCATATTAGAGTCAACCAGACATTTTAGAACTTGATCGATGGAGAAGTTTAATTTTTGAAATGGTGTAAACTGCCAAGGCCACGAATCCCCTCCCATCTCAGAATCGTTATCATCCTGAGCCATTTTCTTTGCTCGAACCACTGTAAGAATCCCAAAGATTGCCAGTGCAATGGTGAAGGCACTTAGCAATCCTATGCCCAATTTGATTCTCTCAGCTCTTTTAGAATCACTTTCATTTTGTGCTTTTGCCATTGCAGAATTGCTAATGAAGCATGAATCCCGGCCACTTGGACACAAGCCCTGATTTCCTTCCAAATCTGTTGGTGACAATTGATGGAATAACTTGATGTCCGGAAGATAGCCAGTGAACTTGTTGAAGGAGATGTTGAGAGAAACAAGATTTTCAAGTCCTGAAAGAGCCACCAAATCTCCTTCAAGCTTGTTGTGGGAAAGGTCTAGAGCAGAAAGCTTATTTAGAGAAGAAACCTGTGGTGGGATTACTCCAGATAATGCATTGTGACTCAAATTCAAAGCAATGTCAAGTGCTTCTATATCAAATAGTTTCGGTGGGATGCTTCCTGAGAGATTGTTGCTACTGAGATCAAGGAGTTGAAGACTTGAACAAAGACCTAGTGATGAGGGTATGGATCCAGAGAATGAGTTTCTGCTGAGAATAAGCCTAATAAGTGAAGAGAGTTGGCCAATATTAGCAGGAATTTCACCAGAGAAGTGATTCAGAGAAGCATCTAAAACCTCAAGCCTTGTGAGCGAAGATAAGGAACGAGGTAAAACACCAGAAAGGGAGTTATTGCTAAGGTTCAGCATTTGCAGTTCTTTGCAATTTCCTAGCTCAACTGGCACTAAACCAGTAAGATTATTCTCTGACAGATCAAGAAAGTTTAAGTTACTGAGAAAACCAAGTTCTCTTGGAATCTCTCCACCAATTTGGTTGTTCAAAAGTCGGAGCCGAATAAGAGAACTACATGTACCAATTTCCTGAGGTATAGGCCCAGAAAGATGGTTAGAGATTAGCAGAAGCTTTGTCAAATTTTGAAGCTGAAATAAGCCTGGAGGTAAGCCATCAGTGAGTGTATTATATGACAAATCAAGAGCTTCTAGGCTAGCACAACCACCCAATTCAGAAGGAATGCTTCCTTCAAGTTTATTTTGCCAAGCAAAAAAGACAGTAAGCTTCTTCAACTTTCCGAGTTCAGCAGGAATTGAACCTGATATTTGATTAGTATCTATCTGGAGCTGTATGAGCTCCGACAGATTGGAAAGAACAGGCGGGATTGAACCAGATATGTTATTGTTACTTAACATGAGCTCTTCAAGATTCGAGAGGTTTCCAAAAGTAGTAGGTATGGTTCCAGACAAAGAGTTTAAAGAAACATCAAGAATCTTCAAGTTTCTACAGTTACCAACTTCTTGAGGCATGCTTCCAGCAAACTTATTCTGCCACAGCAACATTTTCTCAAGTTTCTGAAGTTTACCCAGCTCTTTTGGCAATGAACCAAATAGTTCATTCTCATACAAAAACAAGTTCACAAGCTCAGAGCAGTTTCCTATTTCAGGAGGAATCTCACCAGACAACATAGTATTATAAATAGAAATTGTCTGAAGCAACCTTAACTTACCTAAAGAAGCAGGTAATGAACCAGAGATTCTAGTGTCAGCCAGACCTAATATAGTCAGATTCCTGCAATCCCCAAGAGCGTCAGGAATCTTCCCCACAATGCCATTGTTTCCTCCGGCTCTTATAACCTCCAGATTTGAAAGTTTTCCCAACTCAACAGGAAGAACTCCACTAAGATTGTTATCGAAAATATTAAGGTTCTTCAAACTAACACAATCACCAAGCTCTTTGGGGATTTCCCCAGTAAGCTGGTTAGAGTTCAAGCTCAAATTTTGGAGGTTTTTTAGCTTGCCGATGCTGGAAGGAATTGCACCAGAAAGATTATTTGAGCTAAGATCAATGGTTATAAGCTCGGGACAGTTTCCAATATCAGGTGAGATCAACCCAGAAAGGTTAGCACCTGAAATGACAAGTTTCTGGAGAAAGGAAAAAGCTGAAATGTTGGGAGGAAAAGGAAGCGCTAATTCAGTTGCTTGGATGTTTATCTCTGTGACGAAGTTTTGTGAAGAGCATTTGATGAAAGACCAGTTACAAGGGTTGGGATTTGAAGGGTTCCAGTCGGAGAAAAAAGAGGGAGGAACAGAGGAGGAGGAGGAGGAGGAAGTGTGGAGCCATGAAAGTAGAACTCGAGCTTCATTGTTTGAAGAAGACGAAAGATGAGGAAGAAGCAGAAAAAGGAGGTTGAAGAACGGAAGATGAAGAAGTGAGAAAGATTGCTGCCTCGGCATTTGGTGGTGATCGTTGTGGTTGCTCAAGAACCGCCTCGGCCTTGGCATTGCCTCAAAAACTCCAAGCCCCAAGCACTACGCTTGGCCTTGCATTGCCCTCTCTCTCTTCCCTCCACTCACAGTCTGAAAACGCTGGTGTTTATTACCACTATACTTGCTTTGAGGAAAAGTAACCAAGTAAGAGCAAGAGGACAACAGATTTTTAATATGATAACTCCTAGAAGTAGGAGACAAGAGATTGTTAATGTCTTAATAATAAAATATGCAGGGAGACTGAGACCACTACCACCACCACCTCCTCGGCCTCGGGGTTCTGTTTTCTGATATATACATATATATATATATATATATATGAATATGCATATACAGACACATGCGGGGAGCTGAAAATCGAAATTCGAAAGCTATATAGAGTATGAAAGCCTCGTTTTATACGAATGGGCAGATGTCACATGTGGTTTTGCATTGTTTTCCTCAACCTAGTCACTAGAGCAACATGGGGTGTGTTGTATTTACATGCATTTTGGGTCTTGGATGGAGGAGCTGCCAGTACTTCTTTATTTTGAAGCGCGGTAGTTGTTAATTTGCGTTGCTTTTCTGGCATTTTCCTACCTTCTTTTCCAACGTCGCATTCAAAGCACAGATTCCCGTCCCCTTTGAACATCATTACTATTGCTTGTTCACTTAGTAATCAGCGTCATGGCCTGCCTTCATAAAATCGTCCCTGCGAAGTTCTTAATCTATTTTGCTTCAACTCAAAGAATACACAGTAACAGTGAGCACTACCTCTAGAAGATTAAATATAATGTTTTTAATAATACAAAAATGAGTTGACAAACACAACTCATTTGAATTAGCTGCTTAACCGGCTGCATCACGATGCTGCTATAAGTAATAAGGTCTGATATAGGAGTGATTTCTTTGCCCAACCACATATCAGTAATATTCAAGAGTTAAACAAAAATATGCAGGAAGCAAAAGGAATCCATTTTGAAGTGAATGTACGTGAAGAAGCAAAAGGAATCCATTTTGAAGTGAATGTACATGATTCTAAAACAAGGAGCAATGGGCAAAATTATTTAGAAAGCAGGATGGGCGCAATGGTTGCGATGAGACAGACACAGTCTACAAGAAGAGAATCATATTCTCATACTATTATGTCATTTCCCCTGAAACCAAGGCTCATTCATTATTGCAGCTAATGGCTCCCTTGTGCTTCTTAATCACAAGAGTATCACATTCGCTTGTGATTTTATCTCAAAATGTGCTTCGTCGTGATACTGAAGTCAGACTAACATTCGGCCACTCACCTATTAATTTAGGCTCTGTGGTTCACAAGCCCAATATTTTGCAGAAAAATGAATATGTACTCGTAAACTATAAGAGCATGTTCTCCAACATTACGACCCATAATGCAAAAGCCCAAAAGAGACCTCCTTCTAGGCCCTTGTGCCTAAATTTCACTTGTTTTTAAGAAAAATTATATGAAGCCACTAAAAATTAGTTCAATTGATAAGAAATCGACTTATAATTTATAAGGTTGTGAGTTCAAATTCTGCTATTAATGTGAGGATCTTGTTGGTAGGTGATTTGTAAGCACCTTTATAAGTTTTCTCTGGCAAGGGAGTGATTATAAGAAAAATAATCAGATCAAGGGAGAAATGTTGGAAGTTAATATGATAAAATGTTGGAATACATTAATATTTTAATTAATTTAAAATATTTGTATTTTAGGATTTAAATTAAATATTCTGATTTTTATTTGTATTTTTGAATCTTAAAAAATAAAATGATCAACAACACATGCCTACATGTGTTCCTTAAAATGGACTGCTCTTGCGACTTCTGATTACTGATCACCCTTCAAAAAGGGTGATGGCACTATTTCATTTTATTCTCCTGACTATTATTCTACGATAGCCTAATATAAATATTATTACCATGCAACATCTATCTCCTGAGAGAGAAAAACGGGCTAAAGATGATCAATATGTAAAAAAATATAATTTATTTTTCTAAAATACTGTTACTTATAGAGAGGATAAGTGGGAAAAAGAACGGGTGAAAAAAAAGATGAGGGAGACATATAATTAATTAAGTATAAAAAAATATATTAAATGATCAAACAGATTCAAATTAATGCCTATTAAAAAAAAAAAAAGCCCTTATGTTTTGATGAACTAAGCTAGAGGGAGTATTTGTCAAAATAGTTGTTTACATATAATTAATTAGATTATTTGTTTCGACAATATTTGTGGTTCTCCTTTTATTGAAAGTCCATTTGTAATTTTGTGGTGGACGGATGGAGTCGGTCATATTATGTTTAAAATATACCTAGGAAACATGTCATTGGTATTTTAAGTCTATATTTGACATAAAATATGAATTATATCCCATTGGTGAGTTTGTGTTTTTTATTATTTTCGCCTCGGAGCCGCAGCATAATCGTTTGATGCTTGATTGCGCATGCGGATGTAAAAGAATCATCATATAATGAATCTGGTAATATATTCAAAATATCACGACACAAAATTCTTTCAAAGGTGCTTGAATATATAATCTTAATATAAGAACTCGTTTAACTTTTATTTTAATCTCAGATATAAGATCTTAATACACTTTGTCTTTTATATTTATCTATTTTTTCTTAATATAGTCTTTTCAATAATGATAGTTCTAACCAGTACAAATTATTAGTAAAGATATTTAAAAAGAAAACAATACATATTTATTACAAATAACTTACTTAACTAATTTTTTTAATTTATTCAAAATAATAGTCAACTGGTTAGTATAAATTATTAATACAAGTTGATATATAAAAAATGATAGGTCTAATGATAGATGCGATCGAACTGATACACACATACAGAAGGAAGCAGATCCATATTGAAACTTGAATTAGCCAACTCATCTTATAGTCCGTTCAAGGGCTAACCACGCACACGAACGCATGCGTTCTTATCCTCAATATTCAAATCATCAACAACCTAAGCGTGCCATCAGGATTTGTTTTCCACAACTTCCAAATATTCTAAATTTTATTAAACCAACAAAAAAAACATGGAAATTAAAATATAACGAAAGAATTTCTGATAATGTTACTATATACTATTTCATTCAGATTCATCTCTTTGTAATTTAATATTAATTTTTATCCTCTATTTTTTAAAATTTTAAAATATAAAGAGTTTAAATATAATCAAAACTAAACAATACTGCAAGAAATAAAGAAACCAGCTTGAACATCATATGGGGAAAAAAGTCCGAACTTAGCTGAAACAGAATCTTGTCATCTCAGAACCTAAAGATATTCCGTCATAATAACAAGTAATCATAAGCATTGAGTGAGTTCAGTGAGTTGAGGCGACAGAGTTATCATGCAGTCTCCGAATGAGCCTTGCTTATAGTCAAACGGTGTGTCAGCTTTCCCAGTATTATAATCAACATTGAGCCCCTTTCTTTGAATGGAACACAACACGCCCCCACCACCAACTTTCCCTCCCTTCATAATTCATATCTCTTCCCACTCCCACTTTCATTCACTCATGGCCTTCATCAAGATTTTCTCCCTCCATGCTCTCATCTCCTTCGTCTTCTTCTGCTACACAGTCTCTCCCTCTCCTTCTGCCTCCTCTGACGTTGAACTTCTCTTGGGGCAAATCAAAGCATCCTTACAGGGAAACACCCAGGATATCATTTTGTCTTCTTGGAACTCCTCTGTACCTCTTTGCCAATGGAGGGGTCTCAAGTGGGTCTTCTCCAATGCCTCTTCTCTCTCCTGCTCCGTCTCTTCTCCTCATTGGACCAATCTTTCACTCTTCAAAGACCCTCATCTTCATTTGCTCTCTCTTCAACTTCCTTCTGCTAATCTCTCTGGTTCCATCCCCCGGGAGCTTTCTGAGTTCCCTATGCTTCAGAGCCTCTACCTCAACTTCAATTCCTTGACTGGAACAATTCCTCTTGAACTCGGCTATAGTTCCTCCCTCTCCGACATCGATTTGCGTGAAAATTTTCTGAGTGGAGCTTTGCCTCCGTCCATCTGGAATCTGTGCGATGGGCTTGTTTCTCTCAGACTCCATGGAAATTTGCTCTCTGGGTCTATTCCAGAACCAGCATTGCCAAATTGTTCTTGCGAGAATTTGCGATTTCTTGATTTTGGCAACAACAACTTTTCTGGGAATTTCCCAGACTTCGTTACTCGTTTTGGTGGGTTGAAACAGCTTGACTTGGGTAGTAATATGTTTGTAGGCTCGATTCCTCAGAGCTTAGATGGGCTAAGGCTCGAGAAATTGAACCTTTCCCACAACAATTTCAGTGGGGTTTTGCCAACTTTTGTGGAACCCAAGTTTGGTGTGGATATTTTTGAAGGGAATAACCCAGACTTATGTGGGCCACCCTTGAGAGGTTGTGGTGGAAATTCTAGTTCTAGACTAAGTGCTGGTGCTATCGCCGGTATAGTTATCAGTCTGATGGCAGGAAGTGTTGTTTTAGTTTCTTTGCTGATTGGGTATGTGCAAAACAAGAGGAGGAAGGGCAGGGGAGAGAGTGACGATGAATTGGAGGAGGAAGAGGACGAGGAGAATGGTGATAATAGTAATGGTGATGGTGGTAGCAGTGAGAGCAAGCTTATGTTATTTCAGGGTGGCGAGAATTTGACGTTAGACGATGTGTTGAATGCAAATGGGCAAGTTATGGAGAAGACATATTATGGGACCGTGTACAAGGCAAAGCTTGCTGATGGAGGGACCATTGCATTGAGGTTATTGAGAGAAGGTTGCTGCAGGGACACGGCTTCAAGCTTGCCCGTTATAAAGCAACTGGGAAAAATTCGCCACGAGAATTTGATTCCTTTGAGAGCTTTCTATCAAGGAAAAAGAGGGGAGAAGCTCCTTATTTCTGATTATCTGCCTCTTCGGACCCTGCATGATCTTCTCCATGGTAATTATAGGATCCTTCCCTTCTTGTTTGTGTGTGTTTTAAATGTAACTCCTTGCATGGCCATTTCACATTCATCAAAAACTCGAGGTGAACCAATTGTTTCAAGTGTCTCACTGCTTATTAGAATTTTAATCCTTCGTGCTCAAAACATATATAAGGGAATAGTCTTTTCATTTATCCCAGAACTAGATTTCTTCTTCAACTGAGGCACTACGGGAATAACTTCGATTGTAAATTGTTCGCGAAAAAGGTCATGCTAACTTTGGTCGCATGTTTTTAAGCTATCATAGGTATATTTGAACTTCTATGGAGAGGATCTCTTCTAGAGACATGAGATTAGGACAATACACTAATGAATACTGTTATGGAGCAATAATATTCATGAGGCTCATTTGACACCAAGATTCCACAATAAATCTTGAACCAGGTTTGGTTGCATCAATAAAGTTAGTAATGAGAAACTTTATCTTGGACTATTGAGAAGCCTTCTAGCTCAACATGCACTTGAGCAAATGATGAAAATGGAAATTTCCAGATTGGTCCTTTAGTTTGGGTGCGTGAACTCTAATGATGTGTACTTCAGTTGGCTACTTTTTTCAAATAGTTGAATGGCCATGTCCATTACATGGGCAAATGCCTATGCATTTCATTCTTGATCTTCGTTCTATGGAAGAAGAATGATTCAAAACAATCACATTTGAGACACCAAGGACTTGCAAAATGCCATGGGAACAGAGAAAAACACTCGACCTAATGCAGCTGAAAGTTTTAAATCATGGTCCTAAAATATTGACAAGTGTCTGACAATCTTGAAAAATTTATTACTGCATAAAAAATAATTGCTGCCCCTTTTTCATTTGCAATCATGGCATTGTATGAGGCTTATTGGCAGTCTCTGTTACGTCTGAAGTGGAAGGTAGTAGCAAGAACTAATCTCTAATGAATGTCTTTTCATTTTATACTTTATTTGTTTGGACTTTTGATATCAAGGGAATCTGATTTGAAGGCTTCATATAGCTTGCAATTGATCCCTCTCTTTCAATTTTGGTTTTCGGCAGAAATCAAAGTAGGAAAACCAGTGATGAACTGGGCTAGGCGACACAAGATTGCATTGGGAGTAGCTAGAGGGCTTGCATATCTTCACACAGGACTTGATTCTCCAATTACACATGGAAGTGTCAGATCAAAGAACATTGTTGTGGACGATTTCTTCGTGGCCAGGCTCACTGAGTTTGGGCTTGATAAGCTGTTGGTTCCAGCAGTAGCAGATGAAATGGTGGCACTTGCCAAGTCTGAGGGTTATAAGGCTCCGGAGCTTCAAAGGATGAATAAATGTAATTCAAGAACTGATGTTTATGCATTTGGAATATTGCTGTTGGAGATTTTGATCGGGAAGAAACCTGGAAAAAGTGGGAGAGGAAGTGAGTTCGTAGATTTGCCTTCTATGGTGAAAGTGGCAGTTTTGGAGGAGACAACAATGGAGGTGTTTGATGTGGAGATTTTGAGAGGGATAAGAAGTCCGATGGAAGAAGGGTTGATTCAGGCTTTGAAGCTAGCAATGGGTTGTTGTGCCCCTGTGGCTTCAGTTAGACCCAGCATGGATGAAATTGTGAGGCAGTTGGAGGAGAACAGACCAAGAAACAGGTCTGCTTTATACAGCCCCGCAGAAACTAGAAGTGGAAGTGGTACCCCATTTTGAGCTTTTGCATAACTAATTGAGTCTTATTCATAATGTGTCTTTCTGAGCGCGTTTCTGGTGGATGATTGTAATTATTTTCTAGATAATGCATTTTAGAAAGGGGAGATCTGTTCTGTTGTTCATGGGTGCAAAGAAACATTTCTGTGTATTACACATACAATGCTATAAGAATCAGTCATACGGAAGTTTCGTGTCCACGTCTTATAAACAGTATAAGCTCTATAAAGGTTGAAATTTGATGAAATGATCTTGTGGCAAACAAAAGTGTCATGGATTCATTAACTTTGATCCGATCGTTTTCTGGAGTTAGTATCTTGTGGAGATGGCACTGAAACTTTTGCTTGATAAGCATGTTCGAAGTATTTGCGTTTACAGTCTGATCAAGACGATATCAATGAAATGAATCCAAACACGTTATATTACAGATGGCAGTTGAATAAAACATTAGCTTAAAAATGATATTAATTACAGTATAAACACCATCAGGCGGACTAGTATGTGCAATATTCGAAGTACAAATGGGTTTCCAACGAGATTAAAACAGGTCACTGAGAAAGGGCACGCGATAAATGCGATTCATAAGAAGAGGAGGAAATGCTGATTCAAACAGATACACAAGAAGCTATTTCAATAATAATAACATCAACGAGTACATCCTTTTCTCCATTTTAGCCATTCATTTGGGACAAACCAAGTGTTCTCTAAAATGAAGGGCTTACAAACATTGTTCAGGGAGCAAGTAGACAAGATCAAACTATATATAACTGGGGAGACGAAAATAGACTAAAGGGGCAGAGATGAGAGTAGATTTGGTTTCCCTCTAAAATTAAGGGAACAACCCTTCAATTCAGTAAGTGAAGCAATTGGGAGAATGGCCTCTTGTGAGCAATCATTGCTATCAAATTGATGACAGTTGACACACTAAAAGAAATGTACACCCTTTTCTTTCCCATTTACAATATCTAAATGGGGACAGACGTGACCAAAATGGTTGCAAACTCACTCAATACACCTAGAAAATGCAATAAACGAGGAAAAAGATTGAGAACTTTACTTTCTTCCTTTCCTCTGTCCTTTTTCTTTCGTTATTCTATCTTTGTTTTGGTATTAACACGCAGAACCCCTCCGGCAGCTAAGAACACCGGCACCAGAGGTGATGGTACCAACCAAAGAAGATGATTTGGCTGATAAACTTGAAGCTCTGGCATAGCTGGCTCCAGAACCAGCACCTGACGAAGTGAAGAAGGCACCATTCAGCAAAAGGTCTCCCTCTGACCTCCAATTCCAACTTTTCCATACTCCTTGATCCGTGTCAACTCTCTTCGTCACCTGTCAACATCATTTTTCCCACTTTTAAGGTTTCTGAAATGGCCTATCAAATAAATACGTAGTCCCTTTTTTCCACATATCATAGAGTAATTTACCTCCTTAGCAAAAGCGTTCTGAGGGGCAAGGTATCGGTTCCCCTGGCTATTAATGGTGGGATCTGCACTGCCACCAATTGCATACATTTCCCAGTGGGTGTAGTCATTGTTGACCACGTGGAAATACCCGTGTCTGCATCTGCGTTTTCACAACCCCCAACCTCCATTGTTAATTCAAGCTCACAGTTTAAAACCATCAATACATCATTTGACAAGTCCATATGATTTACCTTGGCATTCTCTGAATAAGGCCCTCCCCAAAATGGTTGTAGGCAATGGTCACTTGCATATGCTTATCTCTCACATAAGAGTCACTGTGACCCAAAAGCATCACCTGTATCAACGGATGATCGACACACGTTAATTACTTCTCCCATTTATTTCAGTGACTCAGGATGGAAGAATGAGGAGAGAGAGGATTTACCTCATCGTGGTGAGTAAAGAAATTGTTGGAAATGGTGATGGCAGTCGAACCCATGACAGCATCAACAAGACCATCTGCACATTTAGAGAGTGAGTTGTGATCAATCCAGATGTGGCTCGCACCAAAGATGGAAATTCCATCTCCATCAGCCATGGTCCTCCATCCGTAATGCGAAGGCGAGCTACGAACCATGGCGTTGCCAGTTGGTTTGCAGTCATGGATGTTCAGGCCGTGGATGATGACGTTGGTGACGTATTGGATAGTGATGCATCCCCCATAAGCGATGTGGACGTTGACACCGCGGCCATCAATGGTCTTAAAGCTGTTCATGATGAGCTCTTGCTTTAGAGTGATGACCATGTCCCTTTTGAACACAATCCATAAGGGAGCGTCTTGGATGACGGCGTGGCGGAGGGTGCCTGGTTTTGGGTTGACGGGGTCGTCGTCGCTCGGGTCGCTCACAACGTAGTACTTTCCGTCCCGCCCTCCGATGGCATTGCGTCCGAACCCAATGCCGCAGTTGGCCAGCTGTTTCCGGTGGCGTTGCCAGTTCCGGTCACACCGCCAGCAGTCATCGATGGGATTCCCCGTCCCGCAAGAGAAGAAACCCAAATTCCTTCTTTCCGTATGATTGCGTATGCTCCTGCAAATTCCGTACGAGTCACATTAATGTGACAAGCATTGTATTATTAGTCAAGATAAAATGTACACACTAAACTCGACAATGGACACAGTATCATGTACTGTATATTAAGTATGATTTGCATTATTAACAGCCTCATGCTCATACGATATAATTGCAGACGTAGCATGGGGAACTAATATTCCTGATTTTAGAGACTGGTGATCTTTCTTAGTTCTCCTCCACAGGACAAGATCTGATGATTCTGCCTCTCTACTTGGGGTGTCGGTGGCCATCCTCTAATTAAAAGAATGGAAATTTGGTTTGAGCATTTTTCGCGGAGACAATATGAGGATATATTATTGGGGAAAATATATGAAAAATGAATGTAAAAAGTTGGGTTTTTTAAATTCATATTAGAGTATCTCTGAATAATAATTATCTTTCCCAGAAAACACAAATCGTATCTTCAGGCTGGAGAGACAGAGTGGACAAAGGAATCGTTCATGCATGTAACACCATCTATGGTTGAAAGACGTGGGAACTGCATAGATTCCTATCCGATTCCTCTGAATAGAAGGAAGGGGCTTCAAAATTAAGAATGGATGAAGGCAAAAGGTATTAAATGTCGATAATTAATTTAATAATGAAGAAGATGTAGATAGAGTATCATATAGGAAGTAGTATTAAACAATAGGTAGTAATAGATGAAAATAAGGGAAGAGAGAAGAGATTAATTAAAAGCGGGAGGGCCGGATCAGGCGACAGAAGCATGTGGTTAAGCTGGCAAATAGAATACAAAGGCGATAACGCAACTTCTCAAGAGATCTCATCTTCTGCAAAGAACATGGTGCGGCTGATTCCTTTGAGTCTTGAAAGGGAACTCGAGAACGTGAGCTTTTAATTAAAGCAACAATTATATCTCTAAATAAGTTAGTATTAGATACTTCACCCCATCACTCTTTTCCTTTCTACTCCTCCTCCTACATTCATCTCCAATAAATGAGAATTTTCACTGAATTAATGCCTCCAACTGATGACAATCAGCAGCTATAGATCTTTCTTTACTTGATTTTCTTAATCAGTTATACTACAGTCAGGGGAGGTTTACAACACCTTGTCGCTTGTGCTAATAATGTGGCTTGAATCTTGGGAAATGACAATAACGGAAATTTTATTGAACTATAAAAGAACGTATACGCAGTAGTAGCTTGTTAGCAAAGCAATGGGAGAGGGAAAAATGGCAGCTTTCATTTAAAACTCGCACTGACCATCTTGACTGGGTTTTTATTAAAGTGAATGGCCAGGAAAGAGAAGAAAATGACATGAAAGTGGAATGTAGGGTAAGTTATTAATTCGCCTCAGTTACTAATAGATCATTAGATGCTAGTGGGTTTTGATTGCTGATCATGTATTGGCTTAGAAAGGCCATGTGACTTCCCTGTTCTAAGCCCGAGACCAAATTAAAATAATGCAACCACTCACATGCCACGTGAGATTAAATATTCATTCGCACAGGGAAGGAAAAGATGATGAGAAAGAGAGAGAAAGAGATATTACATATCGACCATAGTGGCTATCTCCTCCGGATTTTTTACTGCATGCTCATTCGAAGAGTCATTGAACCTGGAAAAAGGCAGCGCAGAAGTAAGATAATGTTAATTTCCCGGAATGGCTCACGAAATCATCGCTACAATGACTACAGAAACATGCAAGTTTTGTGATTTGGACTTCGGAGTTAAAAAGTAAAAAGAGAGTCTGGCAATAGATTGATGAGTTGCTGTAGCTTTCTAAGAAAACTGGCCGGTAATCACAGTGTGCACACTGAGCTGAAGGGTCATGAGAACATAAGAGGATATTATGAAGGACTCAAATTTTCCAGATCCGATCTGAAGTTGGCGTCTGGCGAGAAACAGAGTGATTGGCCAGATTTGGAAGCTTTGTCATCATATGGAGTTTTGGAGAATATACCTTTTCACAGGGAAGGCGATGGCGGCGGGTAAAAGCAAGGGCATGAGCAGAGAGGTGAGGGCCAAGAATTGGAGAGAAACAGAGATCTGCATTGCTGCTTTTTGCTGTGTGTGGTGAAACAGGGGAGTATGAAGTTGAATGAGGGAGGGAATGACGAAGGAAGGGGCGGGGGTGGGCTTTTATAGGGAAAGACCCGCCTTATGGAGGTCGCCTGCTGCCATAATGCCACGTGGATTTATACGACCGTACGAAATTACGAATCTTGTTATCTCCCCGCTCACAGCCTGTCCTGTCCTTGCAAATTTATTTTACCCATTTGGCAAATCATTTATTTTCAAGATTTTAATTATATTCTAATAATAGTTAAAATATACATTTAGTCTTTTAATTAATTAAATACAAGATTTTAATTTGATCCCTTAACTTTTAAAAGTATACATTTAGTCCTTTAATTCTAAAATTATTAGGCTTGAATGATTTTTTTTGGTAACAATTATGGTTATTTTAAAAATTAAACTTAATATTTTAGTATTTGAGAATATTTTGTCAATATTTAAGATTTCAATATCATCATTTTTGTTAACAATTTGAGGGTTGAAGGATTAAAATATATTTTTAAAGTTAAGAGATCAAATTGAAATGTTATATAAAGTTAAAGGATTAAATGCATAATTTAACTCTAATAATTACGGATCAGAGTCAATATCAAATTAATTCACTGGCCTTCCTTCATTTTATTGTAATTAAATACTGAATTCCCATTAATCAATTATCTTAATTACTTTTAATTTGGTTTTTACTGCATGTTATGTAATAAT